CCAGTAGATTGGTGCGATTGTGGGGGGGCGGGGCTCTGGGCTGGGAATCCCTAGCCTCTAGCCTCCCGATCACATAAAACCCCCGAGAGATCGGCACCACTGCTTGGCAAAGCCGGAAATGGCTGCCGCGACCTCAGTGTTTTCTCCGATCCCAAGGATACAAAGCAATACTCCCTGGTGGTTAGAAAGGAAAACCATGTAGAGCTACTTACAGGCCAGAGCACAGAGCTAGCTACGGTGGCTGCAGAGGGAAGGAGGTTCCAGTAGAGATAGAAATCGCAGGAGACATTAAAAATATGACTCGTCTTTAGCCGAACTGAGATGAAGTGGAGAAGAAAGGGTGGAGCACAGAGGCGTGTCTTCAGCTTCATCCCAGTTTCGTGGCCAAATGGGCATGTCAATACCATCCACTGGAACCTCCTGTCCCTTGCTCCAAAAAAAAAAATATTCAAAAAATTCTGTTTTGTCATTTCTAACTTACAGGATTTATTATTTTGTTGTTGCCAAATACAGGGAGATGGGAGGCGAGAAATGAGTACTGTAAAGGAATGCAACTTAAAAATGAAATTGTTTTCTGCTTTTTATGGTAGCAGAAAAGAGGGGGGAAAGTCACAAAAAGTGTTAGGTGATGTTTGTATCTTGAAAACCCCAGGAGCCCATAATTCAATGTACTTCTGGTCCCAATTTTTTAATTATCAGAGCATTCCAACATCACGCATCACATTTTTGTAAAACCCCTCTAATGTTTAGTGAGAAGACTACTTTCCTAGCCAGAATTCCCCAACTCTAGCAATAACAATAGACCACAAACCCACAGTCACATTTCACCAGGAATTATCCAGAACCAAAGACATAATGCAGAAGGATGAAAGAAACAATGTAATTTACAAAATCAATTTTAACAATCACAATCAATTCTTCTGGGACAAGCATCACTTCAACTTAAAACTAGAATCCATACACATCAGCTGGCAGTCAATTGCTGCGATCCCAAATCCCTGGCATTCCACAAGCAATTCTATCAACAGACATATCTACCTACAATCAACTTACAAGAACTCCCGAGAATTAAAGTCAACTACACAACCAACCAGTGATAGCTCTAACCCTTAACCAACCCCCGCAACTCCCCCAATTAGCACACCTCCCAAGGACTCTCACCTGATGTAACCTCCCCATGACAAGACCCTCATCTGATGGAACCTCCATTACAAGATCTAATGACTACACAAAGCCTTTATAAACTGAAGAACATCAACACTGACTTTCCCTAAATTCCACTGAAAATGTTAATTAGCCTGGTAACAAAATGTTCAGAAACCAACCCTCAAGCTCGGAGAATGAACTTCTAACCTCATCTTACCCTTGAGCTACAGATATTCACCATTATCACTATTTATTTCCCTCTTCTAAAATGACATATTAATCATCTGCATGACTAATACACACAGTTCAGCAGTTTGAATCTCACCAGTTCAAGATGGACTCAGCCTTCCATGCTTCCGAGGTCAGTAAAATGAGTATCCTGATTGTTGAAGGCAATATGTTGACACTGTAAACCACTTAGAGAGGACTGTAAAGCACTGTGAAACTGTGTATAAGTCTAAGTGCTATTGCTACTTAAAATCTAATATCCCTCCCCATTTTGAAATAATCCAAGAAATTCACGTTAAAAAATTCTATATAATCTATTGAGTGACATCAATGTCATAAGACATCCAAGTTGTTGCTCTCAAGGCACAAAATAAAAAATAACAAAATATCAGTATGTTGAAAAAGCTTGGTGTCTTTGTTTTAGAAGAATTGTATGGATATGTATTAAGATATTATTTTAATCATATTATTTAAAAACTACCATTTAATAATATGGTTTTAATTAATAACTGTTTTTATAGTACTGCAGGTAGTCCTTCACTTACAACCATTTGTGTAGTGACTGAAGTTACAATGGTGATGAAAAAAGTGACATGATCATTTTTCACACTTAACAACCGTTGCAGCATCTCCATAGTCACGTAATCAAAACTCAGACGCTTGGCAATTTAATCATTTATGATGGTTGCAGCGTCCCAGGGTCTTGTGATCACCTTTTGTGACCTGCCAAGCAAAAGCAATCGGGAAGCCAGATTAACTTAACAACTGTGTTACTCGGGTGAGTTCCGGCAGTCATTACTGCCGGTTCGCTTTGTGGTTGCGCAGCACGTGTGCATGATGCGCGCTGCATGCACATACACAGTACTATAAAAATGTACATGTGCAGAAGCAAAAAACAAGATGGCGGCGCCTATGGCGCTATTGGGAGAACCGGTTCAAAGGCATGGCAGGTCTGTGTTGTTGCTGGTTCCAGCGACCCAGGCTGCCAAACCACTACCACTTCGGCCGAACCAGCCCAAACCAGTAAGGAACCCACCACTGGTGTTACTAATTTTACAACTGCAGTGATTTATTTTACAACTATGGTAAGAAAAGTCGTAAAATGGAGCAAAACTCACTTAACAACTGTCATGCTTAGCAACAGAAATGTTGGGCTCAATTGTGGTCATAAGTAAAGGACTACCTATATTTTATAGGTTTTTTTATTGTACACTGCCCAGAGTCATATTTGGTGAAATGGATGACCATAGAAACAAGAAAATTAAATGCAGTTAGGTGATAGAAAGTGATAAACTTTGTTATATTTTGTGCTTCCTTTTTTACTTTAGATCCCATTTAATGCAGGGATACACTGAGATATATTGGTAAATTTTTGATGATAAGATACAAGTAGCTTTATATTCATAATTCATACATAATCAAACAGCAATGAGCAATAACTGAAAAACCTATTTTACAATGTTAGGCACCCTGGTTCATAGGTATCCTGTATACTATAAATATATCTGGCTCCATTGAAGATTTAATAAGACTCTGAAAGATATACAGCTCCAGTTTTCTGGATCTCTGCCACACAAACTTGAGGCTTTTTTAATGATACCCACAAAGAAAATACTGTAACATGATCAATAGTTACATATTGTTCCTACTTAGAGCCAGGATACCATTAACCACAATATACTTAGGATCCTACCTCAAGTGTATTTAATAAGCTCTTCAAATTAGTGCATGGATACTTGTCATCATAAATCAGTTTAATGGTTCTCAAATTTGTTACCTATTAACTAATGGAAACACTGGTCAATAAGGGAAACGTTATTTATATGATAAGCATTTATTAATATTAACATATTAATATTAAAAATATTAACATATTTTTATATGAAAGTAGTTTTGATTCTTTTGAACAATGAAGATCAAATTTTTGCTATAGCTTGAATTCTGAAGCTTTCATTCGTAGGGCAAATTATGTTCGTATTTTGTGTTTGTACTTAAAAATCCTTTAAACAACTTTTTAAAAACTCCACTTGCAATTATTATATTATTATGCCAGTCTATCATCTATTTCAACAGACTGCAAATGCTGCGATACATTCATTTTACAGATTTGTTACAACAGGTAAAATTAATTTGTATGGTGAAGTCTGACAATATAGCTTTTTAAAAAAACTCTTTAAAATTCTCCCATCTCACCTTTTTCCCTCCTGGTGATGAAGTATCAGGGGGAGGCGTGCTGGTCATGTTCAATGGGCTAGAGCCACAACTTGAAGGGGAAGATCCTCGTATCCTGTTACACCAACGACAGCCAAATTACAAAAGGCATAAAAAAAAAAATAAAGTCATTTTTTTTTTAGGATGACATATTATCAACAACCCAAAATTATAATATGAAACCCTATATGTGTGCTTATTTTTGGAATTTAAACACAACTAAGGAATTATTTTTAGTAAATTATATTGATAAAATATTCCAGTAAATCATAATCTCTGTTCTTAAGCCTGCATGGTTGTTCCTCACATTGTTTATGGAGATTCTCAGTCATCCAGGTCATGGTTGTCCCAAGGTGCTTTTTCAGGAGGCAACTGGACTTTCTGGTTTTTCTTCTCTTTGAAGACGTTTCACTTCTCATCCAAGAAGTTTCTTCAGCTCTGACTGGATGGTGGGGAATAGAAGGATTTATACTCCTTACTGACAGCTGGTCATTTGCATTCTTTTAGTGACAGCTGTCTGCAAAGAGTATAAATCATTTTATTCTCCACCATCCAATCAGAGCTGAAGAAGCTTCTAAGATGAGAACCGAAAAGTCTTCAAAGAAAAAGAAAAAGCAGAAAATCCAGTTGCCTCTTTAAAAAGCACCTTGGGGTTCCTCACATGGTGTTCATTGTGGGACAGTCACAGCATTCTTGTCATGTTTTATGATTTAAGTTTTTGATTTTTATCTCCTAAGGAATATGCTCCAATTTGCTATTGTACTATATATGCCTGGATATGGCAAAAGGAAAATAAAATTGGCAAACAAACTACATTTCTACAAGTTTAATCTATTTTGCCTCTCTGCCATTACTATATGTTGAATATTGCTCATCATAATCTTGGAAATTACATTGGGTTATTTTATTAAACTTCTTTCACAGTTACTGCTTACTTATTGTAGATAAACCATGCTAAAATACTTCACTGTACTAAGAAACATACAAGCAGTTATGCTTGTTTTGTCTTGAAAGGAAACAACTGACCAGCCTATTTAGAAATCAATTTATTGGATTTATATCCCATGTTTCTGTGAAAGATTTAAAAATAGGAATGAAATAGAACTTTTCCTAACAAATTGAGAAACATATACTTAATAATTTTAAAATATGAGCTTTTCCTTACCTATGGATCTCCATTATTTCTTCAGCAATCATCCTGCCAATTTTACCAGCACCGGCTCTCGTTCCACCTGGAATACCAGGAACTGTGGGAAGGGCCCTTTTTGGACCACCTTAAAAAGATTTTCAAAAAAAGAAGAAGAAAGGAAATGAAATTAAATGAAAGGGAAAGAAAAAGGGCACACAAGCTTATATATACCTGCAATCTACACATTTATTCTGAATATAGGTACTGGTAGTTCTCGATTTATGACCACAATTAAGTTCAAAATTTCCACTGTTAAAATTTCAAGGGAGCTTTGCCCCATTTTACGAACTTTCTTGCCACTGTTGTTAAGTGAATCTGACTTTGTTTGCCAGGTTGCAAAAGATGATCACATGACTCCAGGACACTGCAGCCATCATAAACGGATGCCAGTTGCCAAGCAGTTGAATTTTGATCACATGCCCACTGGGATGCAGCAATGGTCGTAAATGTGAAAAACAACCATAAATCACTCTTTTCAATGCTATTTTAACTTTGAACGGTCACTAAACAAATAGTTGTAAGCTGAGGATTACCTGCACTTGCACCTCTGCACTTAACATACCCTTTGCAATTGTTATAATTCTATTATAATTTCTTTTTTGTTTCCTTTCAATCTCATCTTATTTCACTAAACATTCATTTCAATGCAGTAAAGTTGCTCTAACATTACACGAAGAGCAAGGCACTGTATGTTTTACTGCCTACAATGTGATTTTAATATATTTCATGGTCACTGGCATGCATTACTGCCTGACCCTATTAATTCTGATTTTTGAGAGCTGCTGAATGCATTTTTATGTATGACCTTTTTCATCATAGGAGAAATCTTTCAAAACTCAGATTATGTTTTTTCCAGGGATAAAAGTTCTTCTGCCTGTTGAAAAGAAGTAATTTCTATTTCCTGCTACAACTCTTATGTTAATAGTATTCAATTTTCATTAAATGGCAAAGAAATGAATTTTTTAAAGCTACCACTTTTTGTAGGTAGCCCCTGGTGTACTTATGAGAGGTTAAGTGCCCGTTAAAAAAAATAGCCTTGCTACATGGGATTTAAAAGACTGCCCTGGGATATAAAGTCATTTAATGGGCTTTTCTAGTCAAGTTTATTGCATTTCACAATGAGTTTAAAGGGCATTGCAAGCCTCTCACAGTAGGAAATCACTGAAGACAGAGAACTTTCAGCATCTCTATTGTTAAGATAGATACAATATGCCTTGTATGAGAAATGCAAGCTTACAATTACAATTATAAAGTTAAAATCTCCTTCAAAACACAATTTTCTTCTCTATGTTTCACATATCTAACATACTAGGTACACATGCTACTTAGGTTCTTTAGCAACTCCAAATGGCTGGGTTACATTTGGGAAAAATGTATGCTCCTCTTTCAATATGATGTTGTAGAGGCTACTTCACTTGATTCCAAATCATCATACAGCTGAATATATATATATATATATATACACAAACCCCCAAACAATCAGAACACACCTCCACCCAATCAGGACACAGCCAAGCTCCCACCCAATCAGTTCAATCCCCCACTGACAGTTAAAAGGAAGAA